TCTCTTCCGTTTTTGACTATTCCATTTTTTATTGTCTTCAAGTGACGACCCGGTAATAGAGAATGGATTGCCAATATTATCATATTAAAGTTGTTTATTAACCATTTTATTTACATAAAGCGTGATTATAAAAATATAATAACAAAAATAATCCAAATTTTTATTTTATGTCGTCTTTCATATGTGTCGACTAAGAGAAATTCAGGAAACAGAAGATCATTTTGACTGAATCGAGTGTTTCTTGTCTTTCTTTGTTCTAGTTTATATAAAAAATGAAATTTGATAAAAAATCAATGCATTAAAGCCTGATGTCCGGTGAGAATCGAGAGCAAAGACGGTCGGGCTAATAATTCCTGCCTGCTCCCCTGCTCAAGGACGCGCCCGTGGTAAACTAGAGCCACCTTATCAGCGGTATCAAGCGTCTTTCGTTGCTTGGCAACCACTAAGCAAGTTCTTCCACTCATCAAGTTTTCTAAAGCTTCTTCTAATTCCTGAAGAACAAAATATAAGTCTGATTAATTTTGATTTCTTAAAAGATAAAAAATAATTCTAAACTAATAAAACCAGCGCATAAAGAACCTCCGCATAAACAAGAAAAAATATTTTTTCCCATAATACTTTTCTGTAGAAAATGACGTCACTACACATTGCCTAATATAGCTATTGTTATTTTCATATCCAACATCGCGACTATGCGTTACCTGATCAGTGTTCTCTAATTCTTCAATGATTAGTATAGCAGGGTTTCTAACTATTGCTCTTGCAATGGATATTCGCATCATTTCGCTGCATGTCAAGTGCATTCCTTCATCATCAGGTATGGTTTCATATCCCTAGAAATATAGTAATATAATAAGGCTTACCAAACCATATCTAAATAATAGAATATCACAACATCACAATACTATAAAAACTTCACGAATATATAAACTGAAGGTCGAATAGACCTCTGAAGCTTTCACGTCATGCACCGTATACGAAATGTATTGTAGAATATGTTTGGGACAGGACATGACGGATTTCTGTTTTTTTGTTTTGTTTTTGTTTTTTGTTTTCCAGAAACTGATCCAACAATGCATTATTAATTGAAAGTCGTGACGTAAAAGGTTCAGAAGTCAATTAGATGGCCCAACTTTTCAGTTTACCTATAACCATCACATGCAACCTGCTCAAGTCTTTTTTAGAAAATGGATACAATTGCCGAAGATTCAAAATGATTTATATATATAAGTAATAGCTATGCGAACGTTGCACGTATGTTGCATGCGATGAGTGTAGGAAATAGTAATGCTATTTAATTCAGTCATTTAATGAATTAGAGGATTATAAGGAAACTCTAAAAAGAATGTTAAACATCACAAAAATAAACAACCGAATATTCCAAGCCATGCCAACCTTTGGAAGTCTCATGATAAAATAATGTGCGTTAGCTGAATAAGCTGCGTCCACGATGTCCTGCATGGGCACAACTCTTGTATTGTTACCATACGCTATGTTTTTACCAACTGAGTGCTGAGGCAGGAAAGACCGTGGTGAAACAACAGCTATTTGGTAACGAAGCCATCGAAGATCACAAGCCCGAAGATCTCGGCCATCCATGAACTTAAAGAAGGAAAAATTGTTTATTTATAGGGAACTAGGAACATTTTCATCTTATCTTTATGGATCTTTTTCGAACTAAATAATGCTGCCATTTTGGAAAGTTTAAATGCCAAAAATAAACATTTGAATGTTCTCTTCAAAGTTCCCTCGGCCATCTTGAAAGTTAACCATGCCTTTAATGCGAGACGACTGTTATAATGTTTTCAAAGTTGTAATGGCAAAAGTAAACATTGTAGTTCTCTTCAAAGTTCCCTATACCATCTTGAAAGGTAGCCTTTACACACGCACAATTATATTGACAGGTATCTATCATTACAAGCCCTTCAGTCGTCTCGTCTATATGCACGGTTACCTTTCAAGATGGCGAAGGGAGATATGACAAGGAATTTTCAAGATGGTTGACGTAAGTAAAAGATTATTCCTTGTTGGCGTTCAAACCAGTTTATTGTACATACCACATGACCATAAGAAGGGTCATAGTATCTTTCCAGCAACATTTCYAGTGGGTTACGTGTCTCATAATCCATCAATACCATAGCTAGAGTYTCTCCGCTGTTTATAGTGATATCGAGGTCTTTGAGAAGAAGATTTCCTTTATGTAGTGGATCTGGTAGCTCTGTATGACGGAACTCAACTTGACCACTTGCTTTTCCCTGCAACGGTACACCACGTATTAATGATGGACACCAAACAAACAGAGACAAGCGCCTAATTTAGGTCAGCTAAAAAGCGCTTAACCAGAACATCAGATGAGAAGCGTTAGCTAGAGCACGACGCAAGGCATGTCCTTGTTGGTGTTTCTTGATAGTCCTTATTAATATATCCCCATTTACTCTAGTATGAATTCAGAATGAACTTTATGATTGTTGTACGTACTAGAGATTTGTTCTTGCGCACGCTCTGATTGGTCGAATGGCGTGCTATATTTTACTGCGTGAACGCTCGCTCCCGAGTGATATGACTTTTAATGAAAAATATGATCGATTGCCATGGTATTATAATGAGTGAATAGCCGGTTGGATAATATTTTTATCACCTTATCAAGGTMAGCAGTAGTCATAATCTGTATTGGCTCGTTACCAGACTGCGTGTCCAGTAGACGGTTCGCTGAGTCTTTGGTTTCTGTCGACGACTGCGCAGGCGCCTGACTACCCGAGCTTGCACTCGAACCAAACAACACGGTCATTAACACACTGAAAACAATAACATTTTAATTTTACATTACATTACTTTCATGAACTAATATCTTAATGGTCCTTTCTGCCAATGACGTTTACATTACATTACTTCCATGAACTAATATTTTAATGTCCCTGTCTGCCAATGACGTTGTGCGGCKAAATGCACTATGGGAATGACGAAAACACAGAGTAAAACTATTTTGTTGTATTTCTATCCGTTCATTACTTAATTCACAGGAAGGGTTTAATTTAACTCGTACTTTGCAACTCTACTGTTTTTTCAATTTTCTTTCAAAGCATTTTAATGAATTATCAACRACAGATATTGCAGCTTTTTGGCAGACRCGTTGTCATCTATATTTTTGAATGGACATCCGCCATCTTGATACCTTKATCGATACCAYCATGCATTTCGACAAAACAAACATGACGTCATTAGTGACCACTCTTTCAAATTGACTACAGTCTCAGGTCAGTAGTGGTGATAGTAGGACTTTWATCACTGGATTTCACTGAGAACCAATGAATGAGCGAATAGTATTGATCATTACACTCAAGATATGCAGTCCAAAGACATTATGTCCATTATTATCATTGACTTGAAATACCTCAGAACTTCAATGGCAGCCATTTCGCCTGTCGATATCAGGAAGCAACCATACCGTAAAGCGATAGCGTAGATAATAAACACCATTGCCTGACCGACAGCAAACGCTAAACCACCACAGAGTATTTTCCTCAAGGCATTCCTAAATAACACAAAATAGGAATCAATCAATCAGTCAATTAACCAACCAATCAGCCTAAAAAGAGTTGTTGATTTGCCTTTCATACCGACTTCAACTATGCTTACCTATATCGTTCCATTGCGCTACTCTTGAATTTCTTTGAAAACTTCAATTCCATCCCAAGAGAGCTTATTGATACTATTTTCCTGGATGCCAATTGAAAAGCCTAAATACAAGATTACATTAGTGACAAGGAGAGAGACTATACTGTATCCATATCAATATAGATGGAATTTGGCATAAGAAATAGGAGGGTATATTATTCAATGTTGGTCGTAAAATAGTAAAAATAATGATACTAATAGTACTGATGATAATGATGATGATGATGACGATGATGAGACAAATCGCATGATGACAATAAAAGCGAAATTTCAATATGCATGTTGACAATAACCTTCCTATCTTTCGATGATTCTATGCTGCTGTCTGCTTGGTCTTGTTGGATTCTTTGTGATAACACAATAATAGGATACCCAGCTAACGCCACTAACGTCATTTTCCATCCAGCGGCGAACGCRATGCAAAACGTCAATAACGAAGAAATCGTCGACTGAACTTCTGGACCAATAAATCTTCCAATTGACTGCAGAAACAACAAAATTTAAATCCAAAATCGTTAACTTTATGTTCTTACTCTCGAACGTTATATTTCRTAGGTGYCGTWAATCAGAGTTTTRTACCTTTTGCATCATYGTATCAACATCTCGTTGCATCTCCTCCATTGTTTCTCTAGCTTGTCTTTCAGTATCAACGGCTGGCTATCATAAATAAAAAACATTAGAACAGAACGTTGTTTGATAACACTATTAAAACTGATTTACATGATTATCCCTATGATATGTCGTAAAAAAGCGATTGGCAAGTCGTTGGCCACACGCTTATAGTCGCAAAGCGCTTGATGTGCGCATCATAGAAATTTTTAGTTATCACTCCTACCAATAAATCATCGTCTGGATTGGGGATTTGCCCAGGTTTCTTCAAATTATTGARACTAGGTATTTCCTTCTTTTCAGCACTGGAATAAGGAATTGTTGTACACTCTTTCGACAGCTCGCCATAGCACGGTTTATTGCTATTCAACACTCCATTTTGTTTATGAGCACGCTCAAGACCACGGAAGACATCGCGATGGTCTTCCTCAACAGGTTTATCGATATTTTCAGGGGGCACGTCAACATGTGACAGTACTTTATCCAAGTCTGCATTGTCATATTTTTTCATTGTCTTCACAATAGGAGATCCGGGGGGTGCAGCTTTACATTCTGATCGAAATGGTGGAGGGACGACTTCTGTTTGATGATCAAGGACTTTCAGATTGAAATCATCATCTAGAATTTTTGCRTCTGTCGCTTCTGAAACATGTTTCAATTAAAAACGATGAGTCAGTTCCGCGATTGACATGTGTGACGGTTGGGAGACCCTTGGRACTTTGAGCTACCAAACGGAAATTACTATTTCTATAAATGTGAGTTACTGTACCTGATAAGTGTTTCTCAGGTGAAAATCCACTGGATAATGACTTAGGAGCTGAGTTCTTTGAAACAATTAAAAACATTCATGTTAAGAGTTTTTGATGCATCAAATCATTGAGAAAATTAATCTTTTTACCTTTGATAAAGTTTTCTCAAAGACCCTTTTTTCCAAACGTTGTCTGAACTTTTCGTGTACTAAAGTTGACGTGAATTTCTGAAAGAAAAGTAGTAAAAAAGCGTTGTTGATGCAAAATTTGGCAAGAGAATCTAAAATATTTATATTTGGTCAGTGAAACATAGATCTAATGAAGGTTTAAAAACCGTCAACAAGTTACAAATGTTTCATGTTTTAGATCACAGCTTGTTACCTCAATGGTCCCGCCAAATGCGACCACAGTTCCCAATACAACAAACATGCCAGCGTAGAATGGACCTTCTTTGACAACCCTCTCTGAGTCATTAAGAAACTAAGATGAATAAAAAAGACAAAAAATTAAAGGATTGAACATGTTTACATTGAGCATTTTGCAGAATCGGTGGTTTTTTTACTGAATTATTAAACCAACCTTCTGAATTTTACTGAAGAGAAATGAAATACCAGGTGCTATCATGCCACCAAGACTCGCTCCCAGGGCTGCGCATATTAATAATGGAGCGTCCAGAAGCTGCATCTTTAAAATCTCGATTTGTGCCTGGCTGTCTTTTATCTGAAAAATTAATTGGAAGACCGTTTATGATTGCTATTAGTTCATAATAATAGCCTGGACAGTAGAGACGAGACGAGACGAGACGAGACGAGACGAGACGAGACGAGACGAGACGAGACGAGACGAGACGAGACGAGACGAGACGAGACGAGACGACACGAGACGACACGAGACGAGACGAGACGACACGACACGACACGATACGATACGATACGACACCACAGCACATCACAGAAACATACCTTTTCCTGCGCTTGCTCTTTTAGTTTCTGCTTCTTTTCCTCAAACTTCTTTCCCAATTCTTCTCTATTATGGTGAATTGTCTCTTTTATTCCTTCAATCCTCCCGTGGTTGTGTTCTTTTTCAAATGGTTTGCAATGTTCACTGGCGTCGTCTGTTTTATGACACGCGTTCAATGGCTGTGCCGTTTTTAATTCTAAAACAAACTCTATTTCAACAAGGTTGTAGGAGAGAAAACTGAACGATTGAACTGTGCTATGGGTATGCCATATTGATGGACGCTGTCACTCATCAAACGTTGAAGAACACAGCCGGACAAACAAATAMAATCCAAGCAAAATCATTAGCACATTTTACTTTGAAAATTGACGACAATCATATTCGTAGTCACGTGAAAGATCCTTACGCTTGTGCTTACGATAAAATGTTTTTTTAATGATTGTAGATCCATAATACCTGCTGGTCACGATTATGCCATTGCGCGCAATCTCAGTCGTAAATACCTGCGTTCTGTATTCTGTCATCTTTTGCGGCCTTCGCTACTTTGGCTTCAAAACACTAAAACACAAAGAAACTTGAATGCTTTGTTTTTCGTTCTTACTTGATTAAATTAGTGTTTTAACATGTCACGAAAATTACAAACACTTAAACGCGGGATTTGAAACTTTATCATGGACAATGCAACATGATTGATTGATTGTTTCCACACCTGAACTGTACTCAGATAGCTAAAACCTCTTCCWGACATCAATAACTCCTTAGCGGTTCCCTGTTCGATTATGCGCCCTTCGTGTAGTACGACTATGACGTCAGCAAGTCTGGCTAAACTCACGTGACTTGTGGATATAAATGTTGTGCGACCTTGACGAGCCTGTAAAACCAGTTTTATGTTATAGACAGAAAATTTCCATAGTATTTCAATAATGATCTTTAATTCAAAAAGTATCTGCTTGATTGACAGTCGGACGCTCTCTCAAGCGGACACCTCTATAAAATGGACATATTCATGACAAA